TGAGGTCTCACCAAGTTGCCCAGGTGGGTCTCGAACCTGCGGACTCAGGCAATTCACTCACCTCAGCCTCCCAAAGTGCTAGGATTACAGGCTGAGTCACCGAGCCTGGCTAACTTGTTTTACTTTTAAGTCCTCATAGCTTTAATGGAAAAAAGGTTGATTGATTTTCAAATATGACAACATAGAACAAATCCTGTCAATTTCGTCAAAGTGAGGGAAGGCTTATATGAAATAACTGAAAGTCTCAAGTGCTGTTACATTTATTGAATATCAGAAATTAGGTAAGTAAAATTGTCTAGTTAGACTTAACTGCTTAATTAATGGGTATGAAACAGAGGTTTTATATGCGCTATATTTTTATAAATTTGCTCCAAACACATATTGCCACAATATGTAAAAGCAATTAAGAAACAAACCAACAAAGTAACAAACTTACATGATAACTTCTTGTCCATAAATCTGAAAAAGGAAAAGGGTAAGGATTATACAAGTAATTAAAAAATTTTAAGCTTAAACAAGTATAGAAGTAGGTATAGTTAAAATAACTGGCTAAAATTTATACAACAGAAATAATTAAATTAGAAACATTAAAAGCATGTATTGCTGTAAAGGGTGAGGGAGTAATGGGTTATCTAAATTAGTTGCAAAGCAAACTAAGAATTTTTTAAAAACTGTAATAAATAGTCTTTATACTAATGTGAGTCACCAAAAATCCTTATTATTAAATACAATGTTTTCACTGACCTAATTTTCAACGATTGGATTTTATATTAATAAAAATATTTCATTACATCTTGGTATTTCCAAACTAAACAAAGTTTTAAAAATAGCAAACAGTAATCAAACCATATCCAACTCAATAGGTGCTTTATTTTATATTTGAAATGACAAGTAGTGTGATTTTATTTACTATTAAAGCATCAAATGCCAATGTTCAGGACAGTTCTTAGCAATTAGCATATTTTAGTAAAATAAATGCATATTTTGAAACTTCAATTTGACAAAGTTTGAGCAAATATAAATGGTTCATTCAGTTTGGAGTATCGAGCACTCAAATATTGGTGGCTGTAAGATTTGGTGGTTGAATTTCAGATGGAGGGGCTTGGACGCTGGGCTAAGTATGGACTAGATTTTATAGACCATGATAAGTTATCAAAGCAGAGTCAGTCACTGGCAAGACTATTGTGTCAGCAAATTTTAAGGGGGCGGGGGGCGCTGCACTCTAGCCTGGGTGGCAGAGACTGTCTCTTAAAAAGGAAAAAAAAGAGGTGAGAGGAAGAATTCAGTTAAGCCAGGGAGGATATCTCAACTTCAGCAGTGACATTTGGGGCCAGGTAATTCTTTACTGTTGGGGCAATCCATTAAGTTGTAGAATGTTTTGCAGCATTTCTGGCCTCTACTCATTAGATGCTGATAGCACAAGACTCCCTACTCCCCATTTAAGAACCACAAAGTTATATACTAAACCAGAGGGAGGGCAAAAAGGTGTAAAAAGGTGGTATTTACAAGAAAGTAAAGGAAGAAAAAAATGTGAAAGTCATTTGAGGCAGATATGACAGGATTTCATAATTCATGAAACCTAGGGATGAAAAGAGAAAGGTATCAAAATTAGCTTCATTCTCCGAAATTCTCAAAGAATCAGAAAAGAAGTCAGGCGTGGTGGCTGAGGGCTGTAATCCCAGCTCTTTGGGAGGCACAGGTGGGAGAACTACCTGAGCCCAAAAGTTTGACACCAGATGGCTGGGCGTGACAACACAGTGAGGCCTGTCTCTATCCAAAAAAGAACCAGAAAGGAAATCTTAACGATTATGAGATGAGAATGGTCCTTTTACTTAAAAAAAAAAAAGTCACCATTTCACAAATTCCTGATTAAACCAAAGGATACTTACAAGATATTAACAGCTCACAATAAAAGAATAACTTGGCTGGGCTGGGTGGCTCAGCCTGTCATCCCAGCACTTTGGGAGGTCAAGGCGAGTGGATTGCCTGAGCTTGCTGGTTCGAGAACAGCCCAGGCAATTTGGCGAGACCTCGTCTCTACAACACATCAAAAAAAAAAAAAAAAAAAAAATCAGCTGAGCGTGATAGTGCACGCCTGTAGTTCTGGCTACTTGGAAGGCTGAGGCGGAAGGATTGCCGGGGGCCCATCAGGTTGAGGCTGCGGTGGCCGTGAGCATGCCACTGCACTCCAGTCTGGGCGAAGAGTGAGACGTCAACCCAAAAACCAAAACAAGCAAAAAAACCCCTCCAAAACTAGCTTTCTCTGATTAGGAATACGTTCTCACACAGTTCTAGTATTAGATTAGGGCAAGGTAACACACGATATCCAAGTTTAACTTGAGTACAAGAAGGTAAGAAGAAGGAATGGGAACTCAAAAAAGAAAAGAAAAAAAAAAAGGAATGGCATTTCTTTTTTTTTTTTTTCTGAGTTGGAGTCTCACTCTGCCGCCCAGACCGGAGTGCAGCGGCCGCTCCCGGCCACCGCAGCCTCGACCCGCTGGGCTCCGGCGAGCCTTCCGCCTCGGCCTTCCGAGGAGCCGGAAAAACAGGCGCGCGCTACCACGCCCGGCTGATTTTTGATTTATTGCAGAGACGAGGTCTCGCCAAGTTGCCCGGGCGGGCCTCGGACCCGCGGGCCCAGGCCATCCACTCACCTCAGCCTCCCAAAGGCGCGGGATTGCAGGCTGAGCCACCGAGCCCGGCTAGGAATGGAATTTCGAAGCAGCAGCCACACACACCTCCTCTAGGATCAAGGCGGCTTTCGGACTCCGATTCCGCGCTACCCAAGATGCTCCACAAAGGGCGATCGCGACTTTCGAGCGCGGAGGGAGAGCGTGTAGGAGGCGGGAACCGCGAACTCGGGTGCTCGCAGAGGGCCGACGGAAGAGCCCGGCTGCCCGCGGCCACCAACCCCGCCGCGCCCACGCGCAACCTCTGCGCGAGGAGCACGGAAGCCCGCGGCCCCGGCCGGGAGGGTGGCGGCCTGGGACCAGAGCAACAAACCAGGTGAAGGGACCCGAGGCATACGGCAAGCGAGAGGGACCCAAGGCACTCCGGGCACGCGAAGAAGCGACCGCGTCGGTGCGGCCCTCACACATACTCACTTTTTCAACTCGGGAGGATGGGCCTTGCTCATGGCGTCGGCTCCGTGGGCTCAGAGACGCCTCAAAAGCGAATTCGCGGTCTTCTCACGCTCGCGCCGCAGGCCCGGCGTTTTGCGTCTGACGTCAGCGGTCCCATTAGCCAATCGATTGTCGGCAGTGTTCGTATTTCACATCGCGATGCTTAGGGGAAGCCTGAGCGATCGGCGGTTTCCGGTTACGTCGTCAGCGATTGGCCAGGGCAGAGGGGCGGTGCCTCGAGGTACGTTTCTCAATTCCGTTTCCTTTGTGTAAGATTGAGATAACGGTTCCGTCTCTAGCTTCGCATACTCGGCCAATCCCCCACCTCTGGATTGCATCGATCATTTTCTTGATATACGTACTGAATGACTGCAAGCCCTAAGGGAGCAGGCTCCTCATATTTATTTGGCGTGCATTCCTACAGTATGCTGTCAGGCCAAGCCTCGAGTTTAACATGTAAATCAGTAGCCTCTGCATCAGGAGAGTGTAAGGTGACCTGACCTGTCTCCAAGAATTTGAATCTGTTCTCGAGCGATGGCTCAGAAAAATAGATCTTATTTCATTTATTGAGTTGGGGTCTCACTCTGTCGCCCAGGCTGTAGTACAGTGGCATGATCCCGGTTACAGCAGCCTCGATCTCCTGGGCTCAAGCGAGCCTTCGGTCTCAGCCTCCCGAGTAGTAGGGACTACGGCGTGCACCACCACCCCCGACTGATTTTTTTTTGGTAGAGACGAGGCCTTGCTATGTTGCCCAGGCTGGACTCGAACTCCTGGGTTCCCAGTGTTGGGACTATCGGAATCAAAATGCCCTTTCTCTTTAGTGGGCGTGAACCACCATGCCAGGCCAAGCCCCCAAATTTGGCAACACTGCTTCTATAACCCACTAATAAGCTACTGCCCCTAAATATAACACATGACATGCAGCACACAAACCTCTAAAATGAGATGGTGATTTTTCACATCACGCTTAAGTGTAAGAAGTGGTCTCCGACTCATTCCCAGCTGTTACAGAAAATAGGAGAATCCACGAATATAGATTTGATCAAAATAGAAGACTTTATTGATTTTAAGTAAGAGATGGTTCTCCAAAATACAGCTCATTCCTAATATTCGGGAATGGCTTTATTCAATTTTTATTTTAAAGATGTACGGTACAATTGAGGATTAGGTACATAAGCGGTCATTTTTTTGTTTGTTTGTTTGAGTTGAAGTCTCATTCTGTTGCCCAGCCTGGAGTGCAGTGGCACGCTCATGGCCACCACAGTCTTGACCTGCTGGGCTCAGGGGATCCTTCCGCCCCAGCCTTCCTAGTAGCCGGAACTACATGGCACTACATGTGCCACCACACCCAGCTAATTTTTTGATTTATTGTAGAGAAGAGGTCTTGCCAAGTTGCCCAGGATAGTCTCAAACCCTTGGGCTCAGGCAGTCCTCTCACCTCTGCCTCTCAAAGTGTTGGGATTACAGGTGTGAGCCACCGCACCCGGTATAAGTGGTCATTTTACAGGTAAAATTTGGGTTTCACATGGATCCTCACCTTGCCTGGTTTGGGACGAGGTCCCCTTATTGATGTTATGTGTCCTCCCCTCTATTAAAATACCATTGATAGTAAAGACTTAAAATCATATATATTTTTTACTTCTTTGGTTCTCAAAATCCTAGACATTGAACTCTCTCTGGAGGGGTCAGAGCTGTGTACCTTTCCCACCACCTGCTGTTAGTGTTTGGTTGAAACCAGAGACCTAACATGGATATGGAATTTCTCTTTTTAACCTTAGTTTCTTTTCCTCATTGATGAACTTCAAGTCATAAAAACTCTAGCCTTCCCTCAAAGTTTTTCCCATTTACAACGAACCATTTCTGCATATGAACCATAATAATGAATTTCCACTCTTCTGGACATCTTATTTCACACATTACAAGAAGCACACTGAGAAAGTTATATATTCGCTATCCAGATATATGGAAAGAAAACACAATAGTGGGGGGAAGATTTAACCTTTATTTTTTTAAAAACCAAACCACTAGGAAAATATATCACAGCCTGGATACAGCAAACAGACAGGCTCTATGATCATTTCAAGTAATAAGTTGGTAAAAAGACAAGTTGCTATAAAATGATAAGGTACCACGCTGGACATATTGCAACATGCAACCCTGCATATTGCAAAGGCCTCAGGCAAAAATGGTATTTGGTAATAAGGGGGCTGTCCCTCCTCTGTTCTAAGGGAGTCACCGCTTGTCCTAGTCCAAATTGTTTACTTTTTCTCTCTTGAATTTGCCATTGCTGGGCAATTGTCTCAATGCAGTTGTGTTAATTCAGGGGGCTGGGTTAGCCTAGCTGGGTTTAGGCTTTCATTTCATTCTGTTTGATAAAAAACAGCTTTTTTCAAATCTGGTACTTCACAACTCTCTTATAATCGAGTAGCCAACAGTTCTTCTTTCACTGTTCATTCCCAGATACTGATCTATATCACAATCAAAATGCCAATTCTCTTTAATGTGGCAATGGTTACTGCCACACTGTCCTGTAACTCTGCTACAGACAGTCTCTGGCCACTGGTCAGTAAGAGGAAAGCACTGTTTCCCATGATCAGTGTGATATTGTCTCTCATGTTTTTGCACGGTCTCCAGGCAGAATGATGTCGTGCGTGGTAATTTTAAGAAATTCACATGTACACCTGAAGGCCAGAAAAGAATATCCACAAGGAACCTTTCAAAATTCTTAGCCTAATACCTCTCCCTCCCAACTCCTCATCTGAAATCAACTTCATGCCCTTATAGAAATCAAACCAAAACAAACCAAAGACCCAGAAATGCTCTCTCCCTTCTAAAATAGTGACCTCATGGATTTGGTTTTACAGCATATGGAAAATGGTGTGGTGACACTTCTGGTAAACAGCTTGGCAACAAACCATAACACCTCGAACTCTACCAGATCATAGGCAGGTTAGAGGAACCTGTGCAGTAAGAAGAATCTGGTACCTTGGAGGGCTCTGACTTGTACAAGGGAGATCTCTACTGCCAGGACAAGCACTTGCCACATGTGATACAGGCTCCAGATACTCTAACCCAAATTTTAGCACCAGTGTTTTTCCACTTCACTTTTTATGATGGAAACACAAAGGAACCAGCGTCCAGAGGCAAGTGACATATGCCTTTAGCTTGTTGTCATCCTTAATTTCTTCATTCATAAAACTCTGCTTTAAAAGACAACAATTTCCATTCCTTCTAAAAAACAG